CAACAGGCTAAGAATGAATGTCGTCTTCCTGCACTTTCATCACCGTGACTTTATCAACTGTCCCAGTTGGACAGGCTATAAAGTCTCAGGGAGATCTTGAGGGTACAAGCCACACCTTGACTTAGCTTCATCTTGATTATGGTCTCCTCGCGTGTGTGTCCATCTTCTAATGTAAAACTTACGAGAGTCTCTAAACACACAAGTTATTATCGCATTACATCGGCGGAGACTAACGTTCAGTCGCTCTCTCTTCAGTAAGTTTGGTTCGTTTGTTCCTCCTTGCCTAACTTTATTTCGTGCTTTTCTCCTCGTCCTTAGCAACATTGTCCAGATGATAACATTGCGAACTCTTCTTTTCTCTTATTCAATGATTGCAATAAGCATGAATTCAGTAGAGCTTATTCTACTTCTAGCATAGCATGCCGGGGAGTTTTCTCTTAGGATTCGCACTGCTGCAATGACATTCTATCTACCACATGAATTTAGAGCCTTTAAGGCATGTTAGCCTTGTATGAGGTTTTACATATTCTTAGCATTCACTTAATATTTCTCTGCATCCAAAGTAGGTATTATCGTTCATGTTCTAGCTTTACATCTTTTCCACGTATTTTATGTTCAAGCAAAGTTTACGTTTGAGACATACAGGGTATAAAAAGTGCTAACAACTTTTAACGGATTTTAAATATCCGCACCTACTGTAACTGTCCCAAAACTTTCGCTGAGCATAGATGAATACGTTCCCAGCAGAACTTCGAAATTTCACCCCAAATCTTTGCGTCTAGACAAGGCTATCAGTAAATATTTAAAAGAACTGGGATATTGAAAATTACAAGAGCTTGTGCTGGTAGTATAGCAGAGTCACGCTGTGGCTGCGTATCATCCAAACCGGCCGCGCGTCAAAAACATGCAAAACAGAAAAACGACAAGTTTTCTGTCCTCTTGAATACTTTTCATACACGATTCTTTACGTTGCAAGTATCCGACGATGCCGTCACTTCAACAATTGATACCATCTACCGCTATGGAAATTCCCACGTTCTGTGAGTTAGATCAAAGGATGTTATAATATGAGTGGGAAGAACGCTACAAGGCCAATTATGTCTTCCCCTCCCCATGGAGAATGAGGCGCAGTCGTCTTTCGCCGGTCAAGCTCCAGTAACAGACTTTCCCACCCCCGGCGAGCTGGGAACCATAAGGTGAGAGAAAGACAAGGTCAATGAAGGCTTGAATCCCGAAGCAAGGCAAATCGGTAAGAACAAAGGAGCCAAATGAGACCAGGAACCAGTAAATGAAGCATGGAATCCTTTAGAAGGATACGACTTTGCGACAAAGTCCTGAGATTAAAGATAACGTAGCATTAAAAAAAGTCTATCAGTTGATCAGATGCTAGGCTAGTCAGCCTGGGAGAAAACCATCGCGTTTGGTGGATCATTCCTGACTCCACTTTCCAAGCAAATATAAAATATTTAAATTCTTACATACTATCTTACATACTAGTATGTGTATTTTCTTCTATAAAGCCTGCAGTGGTGGAGAACCTTGTAAATACATTCTATAGCTGATGGGTCAATGTTGTCATCTGGTTCTGTCGCAATCTGAACTGCTACCTCTGGAGTTTTCTGTCTATGTTTTGTCTCGTCGATGTTTTGCCGTTTCAGTGTTTTGGCGACGATGTTTTGACACGGAACCATCCAGGATTTATGGAACCACATCGAACATATCTTCCACTGAAATTTACTCTTCGGGATTGCCCTTTTTTTTAAGATGGCTTTGATGAGTTTCTTTTTTTGAACAGTGATCGAAATAATCAATAAGCACCAAAACAAAGAGTTTGCTCAAAGGGTATTCAAACTTTCTCATGGCTTACGTCGGAGAATGAGGCAGATGGAGTCCAGTCACTCAGAAAGATCTTTGTCCATTTTAAATATATGATTTCTTTTAATTAATTGTTCATGGCCTTGCTTTGACAAAACCAATTTGGATGCAATCTCAAAGTTCTGTGATGAAAATATCAACCTATCCGCAGTGCAAGTTTTGTATTTAATAAATGGCGCAAGCAGAAATATATGGTTAAAAGTCGTTGGTTTTTTTGCCTTCCCCTTTATATTGCGTAGTACGTGAAGTTGTCTCAGCAAAAAGGGTGTTCCAATTTGGATAGGAGTGTCAAAAGTGAGGCCCGTGGACCGCTTGCAGTAAACAGAGTGCTTCGTGCATCCTTGTATTAGGGGCACCAAAGACTAGCAAGTTCTGAATGTGCTCGGGAAAAAATTAACAACGAAGATATTATCAGGTTGCTAGAGCAACTACTACTGGCCAGATTTGCAAACAAAATTGCTTCAAACTCCAAATAGCTTCAATGATGTAGGCATGGAATATACGGAACACGCCTACATGTGATTCTTCTGGCTGAGGCACATGTATATGGTATGCTTATGAAACACATCATGATGAGATTGACGAAATCCAAATGTGTCGACCGGGTGCTGGAACCGATCCAGACAATAAGCTATGAAAAAAAGTGCCTATCTTGCGTCGTCCTATCTTGCCTTCTCAATTCTCCCTTAGTCACGTCTCGCAATGATTCACTCGTCTGATTAAATTTATATGAGCTCAATGGGCTAATCTCCCAGGAAAGTGAAAGGATCAGGGCACGTCCGATAATTTCTTACGTCTTTCCTCTGATCTTCCAGTTCGATAATCGTGAAAGCCTTAACGACTAGACGTAGAGACCATATCATCGAGTTACTTTTTGTCCGCTCCTCAACGTTAACCTCGAGAAATTCCATGGCTTCGGATTTTTTCCCGATTCTCCCTCGAATTTGAGTGAATATGTGGACGAGCTTCCCATTCCCTCACGAGAGACATCTAGCGCGGGATAGGTGAAGTTCTCGAGTGGACTCTGTCCTTGTCCCATCTGCTTTTCAGGCCAAGGCGGAAAGATCCCTATCCGACCGGGTCAGTCCAACATAACTACGCACACAACCAATCCCACAATCCTTGATCACTTTCGAGCAGCCTCAAAACTAAGAGTGGGGACAAAAGAATGGAATGAGCCTTAGATAAAGGAATCGACATTTCGGAGATGTGTCGTCATATTCCGATCGAGAATAAACAATAGAAGTTCCGCCTATGGAGTGAAGCAAACGCGGCAGGCCAACGTGCAGAGGACCGGATGTGGATCTCATAAGACCGGGAAACAACAGTTGCATCAATATTGCGTCACGGTGCGAACGACCCACATATGTCAGAAAGGGAAAGACAAGAATGTCTTCTCCGTCCGACCGCCTCCTATATTACCCTCATTAAAGCCCTCGGACGAGAACCCCCAGGGGATTCTCCTGACTCAATGAATGAATGAATGATTCCAGTGAGATGACCGGAAGCAAAGAAACTTCGGAGGCCGAAATAATGGAAGGACGCATCCTGTCAGTGTCTCCAGGCTCAAGACTTTTCCTGCCCGCGACAAATGATGCGTTCTTCGCAGAACTGTGTCACATGTGCCGCACATGTGCGGCTGGGTTGATTTTTTTTTCTCCCCACCCTCCCCTCCCCTTTTGAAAGCAATATTTCCGACAGCACAGATTGGCATACAGGGGGAGAGGATTGCTTTTTCACGTCATTCTGAGGTATCAGGTCGATGGTTTTCGCACTTCGGTGATGCATCCGGGGACCGCAGGAATTTCTCCGTTTGTGTTTTCATGCTTCAATGCTGGCGCTGGACTGGCCAAGCGTCGCAGTCGCACCTGGATTCCTGCGCCACACGTGTGAAATACGAGGAACTGGGCGTCACAGATAGAATTTCTTCCGACAGAATTTTTTTTTATTAATCTACCCCGTCGACGCGAGGTCGCATCTGCTCCATGTCACTTTGATCGACTGATTCATAAACTCTCTCATGGCCCCGATCCCCTTTGATTCATCTGAGACCTCTGTCATTGAAAGATATGGCATCTACTTTGGAGTTATCCCCCCCTCTGCATTAAGACTTTGTTGCTGTTGAGAGGGGGGTGGTGCTTTTTTTCTCTTCCAGGAGGAACTGTCACGCGTTAATGGGCTTTCATGGTGCCAATTGACAGCTTCCGGCTTGCGCCCAAAAACCGGGGTTTATGGGGTTTATACAGTCGTCAACTCGAGGGTTGAGTTCTACCAGGGAAAGGAAATGAAGCTTAACGTCTTACATTATGGTATCGAGGATTACGTCAATGATCTTGTCGATAGTGTTATTATTTTCATCCCGATCCCTTGCGGCTGTTTTTTTTATTATTTCGGGATGGGATTTTCCTGCGGATGCGTCGAGGCAGTGCAATCCGGAAGCAATCCGAGGAAAAACTCATTTGGACGTTCATGATCGAAGGCTTTTTCCCACGATGGACGCACCCCGTGACGCCGACGGCCTTATTTTCAAGTGATTCTTCATCCTTTGTCAGTCGGTTTAGGCTTCTACGAGAGGAATGAGAGATTTTTTCAAGTAACGGCGGGCCGTTCAGATCTTATCGAAAGCCGACAAATTGCTCAACGTTTTTCTTCGCGGGGGGACGTCAGGGGCGCTACGTCATTACTCTTTGGATATATTAAACACTGGTAGAGTTAGAGGAACTCACCCACTGGCGATTAAGAAAGGAGGAAGAACAAGAAATGGGTCGGTGCGCTCAGACATGACCAGAAGGCGTGCAGGAAGGATTGACCCATAGCCTATTGCGCGGGCATATTCGACTCTTCCTTTCGCGGGAAGATTCCACCCCTGACCTGGAATTTACTACGAAATTTTCATCATGCCAAACGACCGTCGTATTCGGAAGGAGTCGCCCTCTCGGAGAAAGGCGAGGAATTCCTCGGAGATTCCTCCCCTCAGCCATGTATATACCCGCTGGGGGGTTTCCTTGTGTGCGAGCCAGAGCGCGTATTGATTGCGAGCCGCTTCTCCTCAGTCTTCGTCCTGGCCTGGGCGGGTGCGCGCATATTCGCTCCTCCTTCCCCTCGACCAGCTGAGTCCCGTCGCCCCCACACTCGTGCATGCTCGGCACTCTATCTTGAGCCGCTGTTTTGTGCTTTTGCAGATGGGTTTCAGTGTTATCGCCCGTTTTTACGGGCCTACCTAGTGTGGAATCCGGTCAGTGCAGTCCGGCCGAGCTCCAGACCGAAGTGATCCTGCTCGGATTTCGTTCCTCAGTGGGCCTAGGCCATAGGAAGGACCATGATAAGCCGCACTCGCTGCCGACTTGAATGTCACCGGGACGCGAATTGCGCTGTGGCTGTGTAGGCCTATGAGGCACAAATAGCACCTGTTTCATGTCAGTTTCCCCGAGTGTGATCCTAAACCCGCAATTACTCACCCGCCCCCGCTCGGCATTTCTGCGTCATGTGAACCGATGAGCTCTTGACGAAGAGGATCTTCGATAGGACCTCACATTTCCTTGACTCCGACTTTTAACCGGTAAGTTTTATGCAGGCTGTCTTTCGCTCCTTGGCAGAGGTTGGCCGGTTTATTTTGACAGTTAGAGTGGTCTCGGCTCCCGTTTATTGCCAGCAGACCGGTATTCAGTAAAACTTCCTGAAAACTCATGTCAAAGTTGGCTATAAGTTACCGAAGGCTTGCTAGAGTGCACATACTGTACTCAGGCCTATGCCACCTTCGTCGACTTGCTCCATTATTGTTATTGCTGTCATCCCATGCTATCCATCAGTCATTGACCTGGCATAACGAAAATGTGGAAGAGGCTGAAATGGGTCGTGTTTCCTTCGATCTCATTGATTGTGGCTTGCAACAGCCGAGGAAGATGGACGTTAGCGCATAGAGTGACGCGGGACATGCACCCTCCCAGCAGCCCTTGTTATCACCACGCACTTCCTCGATTAAGTCCCCTCGGTTGCAGACCACGTGGGCTTCCCACACGGTGGGAAAGGGCCGGGGTGTTGACGGTCACGTCCTCGGGGTTGGAATCCAGGGATGATTTCATTGTCGTCACGGTGTTGAGCTGCACGTGTCGGGGAATGCATTGATCGCGATGGGGTTTCATGTCCTGTCATCCTGAAAATAACTTTCGCCTTTCGCCGGGGTCGCAAAACCAACACCATATCATGCATAAATCCCCCGAATAAACAATCGGACTATATATTTCAGAGCTTTTGTTTGAATACCCCGACAGCTTGGCCAGACAGCTCTTCCATTTGGCACGATTCTCCTTAGACCGTGCCGATTCTCCTTTATTTTAATGCAGTAGCTCGTGGCAGAAAAAAAGGTGACCTTGTGGGTCCGAGGGCACGTGGAGCCCCTCCTGCTTGGCACACGTCACACACCCGGCCATTTTTAAATGTTTATTCAGTGGTGCAAGCAGGAGCCGATGTTTGACGACCTCATCAACGTTTGCCGAGATTGCTTTTCCCTGCCCTTGAACCCGAGAGAGTACTTCGCAACTTTTCTAAGGCTTCCTAAGCAAAAAGTCCATATTCGTTTCCCTCCCCCCCCCCTCCCCCTCGGTCGCTGAATGACTCCCCTTTTTATGGAGTGAGGCTTTTGTCGAGGGTACTCCTTGCCTCCCTCCTTGCCTCCGGGTTCCGTTGGGGAGGGATAAAATGGGGCTTCTCACAATTACGTGGCTGTCTCACACGTTTAATTGGACGAATTCTGGATTATGCAGGGGCTCTCCTCGAAATTGGGGTAGGTGACTCGTCCTCTTTGGGACAAACGAAGGAAGTTTTTTTTTCTTCGTCTTCCTCCGTTCCGCCCAATTTACTTCACACAATCGGGGCCCGGTCCTCTTGTTTGGAAATTAGAGCGATACGAAGTGGCCCTTCAAACACGCACAATAAGAGTCTCGTCGAATCTTAGCACATCTTCGGGTCCCGAATCTTCAAGCGAAGCTTTTTTTTTTTCCACTCCCACCGGCGTGGTCATTCGTGAGGAAATTACTGCCGGAGTGCAATGGGCTTCGGTCACGCAAGGGGTTTGATGAATTGCAAGATCTCCGTGCTTTCCCCCAAGACGCTCGAGCTACTGCCAGATACGCAAAAAAGTGGCACAGATTTTTCTCGCTTTTGCTAGTACTCATTCCCACGAGATTCTCGCGGTTGGGAGAAGCAGAGCGAAAAGAAAAGGGAATGCTGAGGAGTGATCCTTCAATGCTGCCACATCCGCATCTTCTTTTCCCCGTGAAGCCGGGAAGATGAATGATAGTGTTATCCGAGGGTGACCGTGGGAATCGGACCTGGGATCATGCAGAGTTTCTGTTATTTCCTCCGAGGGCCGAAAAGTCTCATGAAAATGATGAAAGGAGGTGGCGAAACAGTGAAATGTCGACACTAGGCTCTGGGAATTTCATGAAGGATGGGTTCGGTCAGGTGGGAATTCCAGGGGAAAGTCCTTTCGTGGGGTTAGTGACCGTGTCTGACAGTCGATGGAATCTCACAATTTACGAGGCATATCGCATGTGGGGGAGTAGGGGAAATACGCCAATCCTTGCCGCTCTCTCATGTCGTCTCGGCTTCTCGCGTCGATAGTCCGGCGGAGGCCGAAGGAAATGCGATCTCCGAGGACGGCCATCCGGAGTTAATTACCCCCGAGGATGCAAGGGAGCCCTTAGGGCCCCAACGACACACCGTCACGGCCGTCTCTTGCACTACGGAACGGAAGTGTCCCCCGACACTGGCGACATGCCAGCTTCGGAATGGTTGACAGAACCGGTCGGTTACGGCATGTGTGTTGGCAGCCATCGTCATTCCATGCGCTCCCCGTGCCCTGTCACGTGCGAGGCTTCTCTGCCATTGCTGACCTCAGGACGAATGGAATGTAACTCCAAGGCGTCGTGTTTCTCACTACGAAAAGAAGGCGGTTCCGCTTTCTCATCTGCTTTTTGAAGGCGGAAGGGTGTTCCGCATCCCACGAACCTTGTTACCTTTTTCTATATTGCCTTTGCCACTTGTTATCTCTTTCCTGCATGAAGTCAGGACCGAATGGAAGCGATAAGTAGATTCAACAAATCTTTTTTTTTCTGGGATTGCATCATTCACGTCGTCATTTTTTGCCTCCACAAAAGAACGTGAGATCCAGGCCCGGATTTGGGTTAGGCCTATCAAATTTTCAATAGCGGTTTGTGGGGAGAAACGAGTCGAATTGTGGGACTCCCGTGTCCCATATAATGATTTCGCTTCTACGCAAAAAAAAAAAATCCTTAGGAAGCAAAAGAGGAGCCCCCAGGGAATTGGTCATTAGATAACGGGACGAGAGAGAGAGAGAGAGAGTAACCCCAAGACATATTCTACACCGGCCATTCGATCATGCTGTCTCATTCCCTGGACTATGCAGCTCCATTTTCCTCCCTTGTCTATTATGAAGGATTTAAAAACTAATCCTGCCGTCTTGACCCTCTTCCGCAGCGGATCCTTTCAATCCCTTTTTTTCTCTCTCCGTTTCCTCGTGACCGTGTCAGCAGGTCTTTTTTCAGGGTTCTGTAGGAATAGCGGGATCCCTTTGGGAAGAGCGCTTTTTCACATTTCGAATTCTGTTTCATGCAAAAGGCTTATGTATGATGTGTGTAGGCGTCTTTGATTGAAAGAGCTTTTGACATTTTTTTTTCTCCATTAATCTGGGTTTCTTGGAAGACTTCGTACTTAGTACCAACCGAAGGAAGCAACCTTTTTTTGGGTTGCTTCCTGCAGCATTACGTAATCAGAATGATCGGGCAGAATATATCTAGAGTACCGATGACTTCAGACATTTCAAACGATATGGACTCGCCCGCCAGCTCTTCAATATTTTCCTCCCCAGAAGTCTGCTCTTGAGGCTTTTGTCGATTGTGACATACCGGAGACAGCTGGTTTCTGAAGACCGATTACCGGAAATCGGATTTAATTCGGCTTAAGGCTTGCTTTCCTTCCTACTTCAAAAAGTCTGCTGAAGAATGAAACAAACGTGGTTCCGGGTACGACGATGACACAGGAATTTGCTACTGTATTCATTGTTTATCTGGTTTTTTCTTTCTTCCGCGAAGAAAAATACATAAGAAAGATAATGCCGTTTCACTCCCTTGTTTACATTCTCCGCCTTCCCAGATCGTTTGTAGCGATGGGTCCATTAGTTAGCGACCTGCAGGTGCGAACGACAACGGGAAGCTCGCCAATGCCATCAGGCGAGGAAGGCGTCGCTTTAAATGCCCCGCTCGTGATCTCACGGAGAAGGGGCTCTCACGGAAAAGGGGCGTGAAGGGCCTCCTATTGAATCTTGGGTGGGGGTGTCCCCAGCCTCGCCCTTCGCCTGTAAAAAGAAAAAGGGTTCGCAATTTCGGGGACCTTTGTCCCCAAGCGAGGTGTCCTTCCCCCATTTTGGATGGGAAGCGAGGTATTGCTTTGAATGAAAATTGCGAAATTCCGCCCCGACTCCCTTTTCCTTTGTCGGCTACACTTTTCTCATCAGACAAGCTGTTGCATCACGGTGTTTCCCCTCCGTTTTCGAGGTCAGGTACAGTATCCCTCCCACTAATAGACAATCGACATGTTCCTGTTGTTATCTGCTCTTGTTTTTTTTTTTCGGAAAGTTTTTTTTTTTACCTTCCCGTAGACTAACGGTGGGGTCTACGGTCCCGAGGCTACGTCGTTACGAGCTCATATGTTACTGATAAGTCCGAGGCGTAAATCACGGACTTCATGCATATTCACTCGAACAGTCATTTATACGCACGGGCGGGTATTTCATTGTGGTTCTTGTAGTACATCGCTTGCTCTGCCTGGTCGCAATTTCGTGGACACAGCCCATATGCCACGGGGAACCTGGTTCCCCGAATGGTGTGAACTCGGTCCCGGAATGATGTGAACTTGGTTCCCGGAACGAAGTGAGCTTGGTTCGCCGAATGGTGTTCGATCGGGAGGGGAGGCGCAGAGAGGGGATTACTTATGGGATGTGTTTAAGGGGGGATTCCCACTTTTGTGGGAAGAGGAATCACTTTGGGGGTTGTAAAAGACTCAAAACTACGTGTGAAGGCCCACATCTGTTCCAGCTGACTGCATGCTGAGATCCCCGACTGCGGGAACTCGATATTCATCTCACCCGGTGTCTTCCTGACTTGCCAAATTTTCTTGTTTTCTTTGAAAGAAAAAAGGGATCGTCTTGGGAGGCATTCAATTTTGCTTTTCCAGCAGCTGTGCTTTGTTCCCTTTTATTGGGGTCATCTTTCTGCTTTTTGCTCACTCGGGGTCCTCATTTTTCCGCAATTAGCCCAAATATTCTTTTCTTCCCTTCTTTATAAAAAAAAGAATGGAAAAAAAATTGAATGAGCGAGAACTGAAAGCGTCCCTTGGCTCAACTGATCGTGATTCCTACTGAAAGAGATCCTATCTGAGAGCGTATTTCCGCCTCGAATCGAGGTTCAGATCATAAGAAAAGAATCTGCTGAGCAAAAAGATTCCCTTTCTCCCTTTTCATTGGAGAAAGAGGCCACTGAGGCTTTTCCAGGGAGAGAGGGCAGGATATTATATTGTCTCCTCAGTTTCATTATTCCTCGCTGTGTCTCCTCGAGGCCAAAGGAGAAAAGAGAGAGGAAAGAAGTGTTCCTTGATGACTTCTCTCTTTCGCCTCTGCGAGAGACACGAGGCTGTTGTCTTGTCTCAAGCCTCTCACTCTCCCTCCCAGGGAATACGAGGGGAGAGGGAGGCCAATCGATGGGAAGCCTCCGTCCCCTTCAGCTCCTTTCCGTGGGGGGGGCTTGCAGGGGGCTTCATCACCCTGCAGGGTCGTGGCTGCTCGCCCTTAATCATGAATATGGTTGGGTCTTCCGTCATAGAAAGCGAGGGGGAGTTTGGGTTGTGTGTCATCTCTCCCTGACACGGAAGACCTCTGACATATCTAGAACCCTATTGAGGGGGATTACGGATGTTGATGGTGCAATCGACCCTTGTAACACTGAATGGAAAATGACAACTAAAAAGAGTTTATTTTCCTGGACATAGGTGGGGTAACATGCAAGGCTATTAGAGTGAGTGGTTGGGTCGATTCCAAAAAACAAAAACACTTCCGGCCCCTAAAAGCGTCTGAGACAACGAATGCATTGGCAGTTTCCATTGATAGCTCTGTGTACTTGAAAAAAAAAGTAAAGAAAGGGCTGCTCCCTCGTTGTCGAGTCTGTAAAAATGTCCAATTAGGCCAAGTAATAATCAATATAGGTATTTTCAGATTCATACCACCCTCTGATTATTATAGCATCCCCCTTTAGAGGTTGAGCATGCTATATCCCCTTGGCTGAACCCGAATGGGATTCTGTCAGGTTCACTAGCAATCCTGGCTTTCTGGCAAAAATAAGAGATCAGGATTACTTCACTTCGACCTTATTTCACCTCTCTGGTAATGGATGAGCATGATCTGGTCTAAATATAGCTCCGATGTTGCAGGATTATTTCCTTCCCGGGAAAAATATTTCTTTGCAGTCTACCTCGAATCCCATTGGGGCGGGCTTGTTTCCTTCCCATCCCTTGATGAATCTAATGGACTCCCCCATAAATATTTGGAGGGGCCCTTCTCTGGGAGAAGGGGCTCAATTTGCATGAAATTGGCATCCCTCATCTCAAAAGGAGAGGAAAGGATCTTTCCCAGGACGAACAGTAGGCGTATAAGCCGAACTGCGTCATACAGGATGCACATAAATGCATAACTGCACATTCGGAAACTTAAATCACGCGCATATTAGGCCATACAATGAAAAAAAAAGTCAGACCGGTCGCACACGGGTGAAGCTTGCTCGAACTCGTTCAACTCGTTGTGTAGAAGCATGTGAGATATCACGTCCCACGAAAATGTTTTAATAATACAAGATAAGCCTCGGTACATGTTCACAGTAGAATAGCTTCACATTAAAAAAAGGAACAATCGCAACTCATCACAATAGCGGTTTAAAAATTAATATATAGATTATTAAAATTTTAATTGGCTCCTAAGTACTCCAGCGAGTATTTTTTGTCCATTTTCATCGCAAAGTCGTGTGAAAGAGCCAACAATGGACGTTAAGTTGCAGAAATCTGATGAAATGGTGGCTTGTATAAGGCCCACCCTCAGTGTTAAAAAATAATTACTCTTTTTCGGAAAGGAAAACATGCATGAACGAAGGCAAATATTCCCTCAGCATAATGAAGCCATATATCAGGGGGAAACTCGGTGCCTGATTAAAATCCAATTACTGGATCGATCAATCGATCACGTGGCCTGCAATTACGCAGGTTAAATTTATTGGGCGGCTTGAATAAAGGCGGATTTCGCGGTATCCCGTGAAACTATTTTTTTATTATTTATTTACGCCTTGTTTGTTATCGGGAAAGTCAGGGATCGAAGCAGAACGAGTTGAAACGTTCTCTGTGCTTGGTTTTGTGTGTCAAGGGGTGGCGTCCTTATCAAGACGGGAGGAGAATGGAGGGTGACGTGGAAACCTCTAGTCTTCACGGGCCGGATGATCCCTTGCGGCTCCGCATCCTCGTCCCCGAGCTCAACGTACAGAAGGCCTTCACTGTCGCGAGGGACACGCTCGTCTGGGACGTGAAGCAGCAGTGCCTCTCTGCCCTTCCCAAGGTCTGCTTCTCGTTTTCATTACGATTTAATAATTCTTTAAGGAACATTCTGTAGTCGAAAGCGTGTGGTATCCTTCGATGTGAGAGTCTCATAAAAATATATTGTCTGTCATGGTGGGTTGTTGTTAGATTGAAATGGTGCTGGTAGGTTGGAGCATCCCAAGCGAATATAATGAAATTTTGTTTTCTCTGCTGGGCATTCCCATACTGGGTTACTATTCTCTGCTCGGGCGAAAAATCACCGGGCCAATCCCATCTATATCAAATCACAGGGCCCACTGATTCCTGGACGTAAACTTGACCTCGAGTATGGGTGCCATACAACAGAAAATTCTCTGTCTGATGTGATCCCATTATTCAATTTTTGTTGATAGGGGATATTGGGAGTAAACGAGAGGGAAATTACGCTTATGATGACTTCGTATAAATGAGAAATAACCCCCTAGGCAGGCAGAGCCATCTGTAGACAAAGAAAGGAAAATGAATGCAATGAATGCAGGATGCATACCTGAGAGTGGTTTACGTTCTTTTAGACGACCCCTCGTGGTGTTTACACCCTATGATTAATTTCCTCGTGTTTTTTTTTCTTTGTTCCCCCCTCCGTTCCTGGGTGTTGTCCACCTTTTCCCTCTTCCCATTCACCGGACTCATTCGCTTTCGTTGTGGTTGTGGGACTTCTAGGTAGCCCTATGGTTTTGGGTACGTTCAGTTTATTTGGTTCCCTTGCTGCCTTTTTTATTTTCTATTCTCTCCGCATTGCATGTATCGCACGAATGTGCATGAAAGTGCATAATAATGCATGATACGAACAAATCGATTTTGACTGTGAGACTTCGAATTTCGCTGTGTATACGAAAGAATTAATTCTACAATGAATTCTACTTCGATTCAATGAGACACTTGAGCTCACAGAAATTCTCGCGACCATGCCTGAGCGTCATCTTTCAGAGCTCGCATGCATCGGATGCGGAACGAGGGACAAAGGGATCTCCTAGCAATGAGAAGATTAAAGACTGAGGAAAAACATCTCCCCCCCGCTCTTCCCCTCCTTCCCTCATATCTCTTCCGCTCTCCTTCATCGCGACTCCCTCCCCTTCGCCCGTGTTTACCATGCCGATGTCTCTAGCACAGAGCTGATGAAATGCTAGGGCTTCCCTTGCAACGATAACTTCATGCAGGAAGTGTATAGCTAGTATTCCCGTTTGCAACTTTCTTGTGTGACTTGTACAGAGAATTATGTACAGGGTGACGATAAAAGGAGCAAAATCGTGCTTTGCTGAACAATGCTAAATTCATTGTAAATACATCGTAACACTCCTGCGAGTGTTACGACGGGCTGTAAACAAAATTTTTTTGTGTGTATCTTGTACAGTATTAGAATGAGTTTGCGAAAATTCGAGAGCATCAGAGAGGTATGGCTTAGCGTTAGGACTAGCTGCCATAATTAGGATCTCAAACGTTGCGTCATGAAACGCTTGACTGGTTATGTTGCGAGGATGCTGAAAACAGTTAGAAGTGCTTGGATAGTCGTATTTGAGTGAGAGGCTGTGCCAGAGAAGAGAGCTTAGCTTGTATTGTCTGGGGGTGATGCCCTCCATCACATGGCCGTCTTCCATGATCAACGGAAGTTGAAGATTGAAGGGAGTGGAAGATGGATCCTCGCATTATCGGTGTCACGTCTGGAATGGTCGTCTAAAGTTTGTGATGCCAGTTGCAGCTGACCCAGTCAATTTTGATCTGGTCGTAACTTTCCGATGCCTTCGAATTTTTGGCCGCATTGCATTCATTTGATTTATAACACCCCACTTCTCTTACTCGTTGGATGTTCCGCATCCTGTCAAACGCGGTTCTATTCTTTCTTTGGGATCGCATTGTAAGTCCATAAGAACAAGACTAGTGAAATTGGTATTCTTTCTGGGTTGCGTTGGTTTTCCTGACTTTAAAATCGAAGTAAAAATAATTAAATTATGTATGTATTCGCAAAAATTTATACATATGTAAAAGAGCCATTTTCCTCTCCTAGAGCAAATGATGTAGCAAATAGAAGCCATTTGTTTTCTTTTTTCTTCCTTTCTCTTCCTTACCTCCCCAAACTACCGAAAATGTTATTGCGTGACTAAGTGAAACGCTTGATTATTAAAATGCTCTTTCTTTCGTAAGTTGATTAAGTACAATGTAGAGAGATGAGTTCCGTGAATGGATGGTATCCTTGGCCTTTTGCATTTCGGACTCATCTATCAGTATAATAGAAAGTTCAGACTAGTGTACCAGTCAAGGAAGTACTCGCTAGCTTCCTTATGTATAACCGTGCTGACCTCATTACATGCGCCCAGGAAAGCCGAACGATCACGCACTAACTGCATATTAGCTTCGAGCATCAAGCTTCATATAGAAAGGTTTAATAGACTGCTGGACGTACGGGCATAGCTAAGAGACAGGAAAGGAACTTGGGTGTTGCAAGCTACCCCTTTCGATCATGAAGGATCCAACATAGCTGAAAGTGATATTCACTTCCGTGGAGATTTATCTCGGTGACTGAAGAGACCAGGAAATGAAAGGAAGTCGTGCATGCATGCGTGAAAATCGTGTTGAAGTCCAGCCCGGCCTTTCTGTACACAGCGTGACTTTCCTGCATTTTTATCCGAGCAACGTTGTTTGTTTATTGCTTCAAGCCGGAGAGAGGGAGCAAAAAAAAGACGCCCTTGTGTCCTCTCCAGCCGCCCTGACAGAAATGAAACTGAACAAAAAAAAAACTTGCATCCTGTCCCAGATGCCTGTGCAGGCTGCATTTGCCTCTCGACCTCGAACAACGACTCCCTCCAACGTACTTGAATTGCTTTTCATCCTGCCTGTCGATGGAACAGACAGCCGTCAGGAGATGAACGTATCCTTCTTAGTAGTTGAAGAACGTCTGAGAAGTTCATTAGGAAGGGAGAGACGAAGGCTGGGAGCTCATTCTCCGATGAAAGACGACTGTCGTCCTCTTTAGTCGTCCTCTGTCGTCTGTCGTCTTTTTTTTTGGCCGTGGACTCCGTCCCCGGCGACGGGAACTTGTCATGAAGTCTTTCTCATCGCCACTTTTCATAGGCGATGAGTCGCTTTCACGTGATTTGCGTAGGGTCTCTCTGTTAGTCTTCGTGAGGCCATTTCGTTTAGGCGTGGCTTTTAAGACCAGGAAGTTTCACTTTTTCAGGAATTAAATTCCTTTCTTTTTCGTTGGTCACGAGTCATCCTTCATTCGCCATAATGTGGGGTTTGGGATTCCTTTTGTCCGCTCAATCACAACAGCGTGCAGTATTGATGAAAGTAGGGGTACTCACTGCAGTACTTGTACATGCCCAAGTCGCTCTAATCGTGTGTACTCGCGATTAGCCAGGCTGGAGTTCCCGTCTTTCACCGTAAGGTGATAGGACAGACAGTTTTCACGGTTCGATCGTCCGGGCTATTTATAGAACATCCGCCTTGGAAACCCGATCTCTCCCGGGTCCGCCTCTAATTCGAATCTGAAGAATGGGCGAGGTCCTGTGCCAGGACTGATTAGCTGAATTCCTGCCGCTTACGGACGCCCTGCCTTGCGGACTGCCTGATCACGTGGAAATTACATTAATGCTGACGAAAAGCGACGTGATGATAAAAAAAATTTTAGCTTGGGCGAAGTAGGAAGCAGATTTGATGGTGCTGCCCTGTGGTTACTTCTTTCCGACCGCAGAGTGTGAATTGCTCAAGTTTGGATTGACAGGGTCGGGTTCACTTTTTCGGCTGAGGTGGCCTTTGATACGGTGGTTAAGACGCGCTGTTTCATATGTTGCACCGTGCCGGTTGGCATGGAAACCAGGAGGTCGTAGGTGGCCCGCCTTTCTCTGACCTGCTCGGCGCGGGTGGCAGCAGGTGACTGGCCTTTCTCTGAGTGGGAAGGCTCCTCAGACAGTGCATTTATGAATCCCCCGTGTTTGGAAGACGGGTGGTTTTTATGGTAAAAAAAAAGTAAGAGGGAAGTAGAACCAGTGACCATCAAGACCCCGGAAGATCATTGCGCCAACGGTTAGCTAAGCTGCTTCGCGAGGGGGGAGAACAGTAAACAGTGATGTGCACATGACGTGAATATAGAATTCAGATGCCGTCACTTCAATATCTCATTTTGGCATTTATGGTTCATTTTCTTCGTATTTGCATACTTATTTTCGGTAGTGAAAGTACTCATAGCAATGACCAGGTTGCTCAATAGGTCTTGAGTCGTAGACCGTGTCTTTCATGAAGGTGACTGAACTCCAGGTTTTGATTGGGCAAAAATCAATATCAATTTGTTTGCTCATTGTTTTGCCTTAGGGGGTGCTCGTAGGTCGAATGTTCATGATGCGTGCTTTCCCAAAATAGCCTATTCCGGTTTTCTCACCCTGAGACTTGTCATAGACTGGTAATGACTAGGTCCTTATACACAGACGGTGTAACTACTAGTCTAGGAAAGGCCGAGGGATGGGAAGAAAAGAAGGGGCTTTGAAAAATGGATTCGACCGTGAGAAATACCCTGTTGCAGGAGACAGTGACCGGGTGCTTCAGGCTGTTCTTTCCCGCTTTTTTAGCCAACAAAGCTTAGGATAGTTTCACGATCTCTCTCACCTATTAAGCTATTACTACCCCACCACAATACCGCAGCCCGAAGTGGCTTTGCAGATTTTTTTCTGCCAGCGTCATCCGCTTGGGAAAAGAGCGTTGGTTTCCTCCACGCCTCCATTCCGCGCTGTGAGCTCCCATCCAGATATCGTTCTCTGTAATTTGGAGAAAACGTCTTTAATATCGGTGTTTGACAGGATGTTCTGGGATATCAGGGCACGGTACACATCAAGCGAAGGTCGCATAATATAAGCTGGATGAGACGCGACTCTACACGAAACATCCTACACCATTCATCTGAGTACAGTTTGGCCTTGCAGCTCACAATACCACCCTGATTGAATTTCCGGTGCCATCATGGGGCTTCTGTACAGTGTCGAAAGACGGAAA